GCTTGCATTTCGACCCCATGGGGGTGGGGAAATGCCGTTAAATATTTTATTCAAAGTTCTGTTCTGATTGGACTGCATGTCATGATTCGAACTTCTGCTGCAATTCATTTCGACCCCATGGGGGGTGGGGAAATGCTGTCAAATTTTTGATTGATTGATTGATTGATTGATTGATTGATTGGTTGATTGGTTGATGAGCTTGATTGATTGATAGAGGGAGAGCGAGAGACGGAAAGGCAGGGAGAGAGAGACAGACGTAGACTCAGACAACATTTGATCTGATCTCCCATGGCCCCTTGTCGTTTGATTGGGCGGTTTTCAATGTCTGCAGGATGCCTAAAGGAGGTTCAGATGCCATTAAGCGGCACTTCGTGCAGCTCGAAACGGTGGGGGATCCGGGCAAGGGCAACTACAAATGGAAGTGCAGGTACTGCGAACATGTCTTCCCGGGCACTGCGCTGCGGTAAGCACTTCATGTCTACGACGAAGGGGCCAAGATGTAACATGGCGAGGGTGAGCAGTAGGCTGTCGGCGGAGGAGAAAGAGAGGAGAGAGTTGGGCCGACTTGAGGCCATTGCTCTGGTCTTGGGAAAGCGGCAAGCGCATGAGGATGTTGATGAATTTGAGGAATGTCGTTCCCAAGAGAGGGACGTGGATGAGCAGGTTGTGGGGGAGGAGGACGAGTGCAATAGCCCAACCTCTCCGCAGGCAAGTACCCAAAAGCAGCCAAACAGCACGCGTTCATCCAACATCCGGGCGCGGCAAACTACGCTCGAAGAGGGTGGGGCAATCGTGTCAAAGAACGAGGAAGCCCAACACTCAACTGATGATTGGTTGGTGTTTGATCGGATCCCATTCACGATGGTGCGCAGCAAGTACTTCTTGCGGATGTTGCAGAAGGTTCGCGAAGCGGAACGGTCCTTCATCCCTGCGAAGTACGATGTGCAGCGAACGAAGAGATTGGATGGGTGGACGGATCAGAGAGGACGACCACACTTGAATGTGATGGTCTCCAACCTGACCGGTGTGTTTTTTTGGAAATCCCACTGCATGTCGGGAAAGGAGAAAGGATCAGAGGCGTACTTCAACATTCTGTCGCAGTCAATCAAGGAGGTTGGCGAGAAAGCTGTGGTCGGTGTCATCATGGACAATGCGGCCATGTGTGCAAGAGCGGGAAGGCTGGTAGAGGACACATTTCCCACCATCTTTCATGTACCATGCGCAGCGCATTGTCTGGACCTCATGTTGCACGACATCGATCGGACCGATTGGGTGAAGGAGGTTGTGGGAAAGGGCAATGACGTGGTGAAGTTCTTCATGAACCACCAGCGCGTACGTGACACCTTCTATGTGCACTCCGGTGGGAGGCAACTATTGCGGCCAGCTGCAACACAGTTCGCTACAACTTTTCATATGCTCGACCGCCTAAAAAAGCAACGCAATGCACTGGTTGCCATGGTCAGTCATGATGCTCGTTGGAAGCCGACCGTCGTACCTCATGCGCAGCGCGACACATTCCACGAGATGGAGGAGATTGTCCTTGATGGAGCGGGCTTTTGGGAGGGCATCAACAAAGTTATCTTCGCTGTTTATGACATTGTCCTGCTGCTGAAGGTGGTGGACGGCACTGGACCCACCATCAGCAAATTATATGCGAGGATGGACAAGGCAGTGGAAAGATTGCGGGCCAATCCGAAATTGCCAAAGGATGAGCGGGAGGATATCGAGGAAATGATCATGCGCCAATGGAATGCGATGACCACCCGCCTGCATTGTGCAACATTGTTCTTGGATCCGGAGTACCGCTCGTATGAGCCACACAATGACCCGGAGATCCAAGACGGGTTCTTCACGTGGTTATACACGTGGTTGGGGGGACGCTCGCAAGAGGTGATAGACCAGGTGGAATATGAGGTGGATTGTTGGGTGCAAAACATTGGGAAGTTTTCCTCGGAGAAGGCGATGGCAGCGGCACGGAAGCAAAACCCTGCAGCATGATGGCTTCGGTGGTGTACCGAGTTACGGTACTTGCGGCCACATGCCATCTGCATTCTTGGCCAGGGAACATCTGCCTCGGGTTGCGAGAGAAATTGGAGTCTCTTCGAGGCGATCCACACTCGCCCGCGCAGCGGCTTGGCCCCTGAAACAATGCAGAAATTGGTGTATTGCAGGTGGAATATGTACCTCTTTGGTACCTTGCAGCAGATGCCCGAGATGGGCCAAGATGTGATTGACTGGGATGCCCTGCCCACCGAGGAAGAGCAGAAGGAGCAGGCTGAGCGGGCGAAGTTGGCTGAGCGCAGATTGAAGCGGATCGAGTCGAGAGGGGAGGATGCTGCTCCACCTCCAAATGAAGGGGGTGAAGAAGGCGGGGATGAGGCTGCTGATCTTCATCGTGAGCCATGTGAGCTGGATGCCATCGAGGATGGGCACGCGGAAGACTGGAGAGGATTAACGAAGGCAGGCATGTATATGGCCTCACGTTCGCATAGACAAGCGCGCAAGAAGGCACGGTCCTTGGGAACAGCAGAGCATATGCGCAAGCATATGAAGAGAGGTGGTGTAGCAGATCCTCGTGCTGCTGCAACCGCAGCGCAGGTTGAGCAACAAGAAAAACGCGGAAGAGGCAGGCCGCAAAAATACAACGTGGCCCCCGAGAATGGAGAAGCTTCGAATCTGGCTGCTATAGAGGAAGTTCAGGAAGAAGGCACAAAAAGCCAAGCAGATGCAAAGGAGTGCAGCAACAGCGACAACGAGGAGGAGAACGAAGGAGAGGGGGGTGGTCTCCAACGAAAGAGACGCCGAGATGGAGGACAATCTGAAGAGGCCGCTGGTGTTGCTACATCTGAATATGGCACAAGTGATGAAGAACGCCCTATCGGTGAAAAACACCGAAAGGAGAGAGAGAGAGAGAGAGAGAGAGAGAGAGAGAGAGAGAGAGAGAGAGAGAGAGAGAGAGAGAGAGAGTAAATTGAGTTTCAACTTCTCATTCACAACGAATGACAAAGAGACCTTTTAGGAATGTCTGAACTTTAAAGTTTGAAGTTCAAAGTTCGAACTTCATAGTCTTCACACCTCAAAAGTTCAAAGTTCAAATTGTTTTATAAAAGGTTATGCAGACTTATTTCTAACTTCATGCCAATTTGGTGTTTGTTGAGCTGTTTGAAATTCATGTGGTGTTTACTGACATTTTGACTTTCTTTCCAGAGTAAAGCTATGTTATTTCACAAGGTATGTTCAGTCACTTCGGTGAGATTTCACAACGTTTCCCACTCCCCTACTTCCCACATCCCCCATTCACCCCAAGGCTTTTTTGGCGCCACTTGATTTTTTTTTTTTTTTTTTTTTTTTTCAAATCCGGACGTATCTACCTATCCGGACAGGAGTCCGGACATGTCCTCATTAACCGGAAAATACCGGAAAACCGGACGGTCGGATTAAACCGGAATTCCCGGTGTCCGGTATCCGGATTTGTCCGGTTTGGTTGTCCGCCGCTGCCATGGTAATAACTCTGGATGAATGGTGGACATGATCACGCAGCGCTGACCGCTCGTTTCTTTTTTGTGGTTTTGAGTCGTTTTTTCTTCGGTAGTTCCTTTTGCACATGATTTCTTAATGGTCGGTGGAATTTGGGTCACTAAATTAGGGTTCACATGACTATTGTGATTAGAATTTTTAGCGATGAACTTTAAACTTTGATGATAAATTTCGTTGATTCTTCTGTGGTAGGGGCTGTGGATTTGGTTGTGGAGTTGGCTGCAGGGTGAAATCTAGTGGTACTGTTACGATCCTGGTCAATCCCAAAGTGCAAATTCACAATGAAAGACGATGCCACCCAATTGCGAAAGAAATGAAAGCGCTTGCAAAGAGATAGAGACCAAAGAAGAGAGAAAGAAGAAGAAGAAGAAGAAGAAGAAGAAGAAGATGTACACCAGCAAGACCAATGACAAATCCCCCTTCTCTCTCCACCTTCCTCCTCCTCCTCCACTTCGCCAATCTGATTCTTCTTCGAATAATAATAATAATAACAACGAGTGGATGACCCAGAATCAATCTCCGAAGTTCCCTCTTATTGCTGACATCACCATATGTCCACCATAGCTATGGTTTCCCCCCTTCTTCCACCTCTCACAAGCCTAGGCTATGGCGAACAACTGAGGGCTCTGCCCTCCTGTGCAAAGGACAACACAAAGCAGCTATGTTGCTGCACTCCTGTCCAAAAGACAACCCAAAGCAGCTATGCCGCTGCTGATTAAGCCGCCATGCCTGAATCTGCCTCGAGCTTCCTTGGTGCGGCACTACCCCAACTGGGGCCTTCCAGGTGCAGTGCCCAACAAGGTGATGAAGATGGTGTCCACCATAGCCAGGTAGGTACCTCGCCACTCTCCTCCTTCGCCCCCTTCTTCCTCCTCCTCAAGCTGGGCTGCTCGCCATAGCCAGGCTGAGCGCCCAGCTGCTCTTCACCTCCAGGCAGCACTGCACAAGTCCAACGCTTGGCTCAACAGCATGTCGCCAATCCTTGTATACCGCAAATGAGGAGGAGCTGCTTGCTCCTCCGGAAGATATAGCGGCCTACTGGCCTCTTGGGCGGTGACTTCCTAGGCCGAGCGGCCTCCCAGCAACTGGTACCTCCTCCCTTTCGGAGGGAAACATCATTGCAGGCTCTGCTATCGTCCGGATAGGCCCTAGACTGGTACCGGCCTACCTCTAACCTACCGCTACTGGGCCTCTAAAAATGCCAACTTTTTGTCTTCTTCTGCTCGGCCTCCAGTACCTGACACTTGTACCACTACTTGAGTGGTTCCAGCCTACCTGCTACTTGAGTGTTTTTCCCGCTGCTCTAAATGTCGTGGTCCTACCCCCACTACTTCAGTGTTTTCCCTGCTGCAACCCTCAAAGTCACGGCCACAGGTAAGTACCGGCCCTGCGGGGCCTTTCAACCAACAAGTACCCTTGGGGGTCACACACACACTCAACCGACAAGTACTCAGACAGGCATGCAAACCAGCACACACACACACAAACTTGGAAACCACAGTAGAATGTGGGAATCTCAGCAAGGCATTCATTCCAGCGGCAAACCCCATAAATCAGCAGTGTTCTCAGTCTGTGTTTTGGCAGGTCATTACACTACCCCCCTCTCTAGAGCGAGGTCCCTTCGAGCTAGTAACTCATTCAGCGTCGGCACAAAATGCGTCGTAGGCGTAGATCAGAAAGAGAGAATTAGTAAGACCGTGAGGAGTGAGTTTTGCAGAAAACTTAGCAATCTGTCCATCAGCGATCTGTCGTTCATAGGCATTAACAACACAGGGAGCATTCTTTAGCAGCTCTGTTCGGTCGATCCAGAAGAACTCGTTCAACGGGCGATAGAGGAAGTGAACCTTGTACTCTTTGTTCCTCCCTCTTCCTTCATGGGAAACAATTATGTCTATCTCATGGCCGCCGTCGATAGGACAAGGTATCATAGGATCTCGACAGGGAAAAGTCTCGTCATCGATGTGTGGAAACAGTTTGGACGCGTGAAAGACCGGATATGTGCGCAGATGAGGAGGCACGTCAATTACATACGAAGGACAAAAATCATCCCCAACCACCTTTAGAACCTGCCAAGGGCCATAGTAGAGTGGAAGCAGCTTTCGTGATACGCCCTCTTCGTCATAAAACTCAGACATTTTGACCTAGACATAACTTCCTACTTCGAAGTTCCCTTCTTTGTGCGACTTGTTAGCACGTTTGATCATGGCATGCTGACGCTTGTTCATCGCTGTGATAGCATGAGCAAGCGTGCATACTTGGCATTATAGCCAGGTATAGCGGGTGTCAAACCAAGGGACCGTTCGGGGAACACATAGGAGAGAGGATTGCGCAACTGCCAACCATATTGCAACTGATTCGGTGTCTTGCCAATTGCAGAGTGAATGAAGTTGTTGTACAACCCCTTCACTTTGTTTAGCTCCTTGTCCCACGTGTTCTAATCTGGAACAATTAACGCATGAAGTGGTTGGATGATAAGTCTGGTTGATTTCCTCGACCAATCCATTGACTTCGGGGTGTCGACCAGAAGTCTTCTTGAGTTGAATGTCGTAGATTTGAGAAGTGAAGTCCTTCCAATCAGCACTAATGAACCTGGTGTCCCGATCACTCACAATAGTTTTCGGGGGTCCGTACTGCAAAATGTACTGCTGGTGAAATTCTTCGATTACAAGCTCAACTGGTGCATGAAAGGTAGAGGAATCAAATTCAAAAAAATTGGAAAAACGATTCACGATGACCATGACTTGTGAATATCCTCCCTCGCTCACCTTCCCCATGTCTGTGAAATCGATAGAGACCGACTCACCAGGTCCATCAGAAATGGGGAGGGGTTTCAACAGACCATAAGGCTTATGCCTATGGACCTTGGTTCTTTGACAGACTTGACATTCAGCAATAAATTTCTGAGCAGATCCCTTCATTCTCGACCAATCAAACTGCTGCAAAAGAGTTCCATAACTCTTCTCAAAGCTGAAGTGTCCACTCCGACCATGTGCCAAATCCAAGAAATGAGTCTGGAGAGGCGCATGGTTGGGTACACACAAACGATCAAAATTCCCATACTGGCGGAATACAAGACCCTCACACTCATGAAAATTAGGCTGACTGCTAGGGTCAGCCTTGAGCTACTCAAGGATGGGACTAAGGTCCGATCCTTGGCAGTGTGTTCGGCCAGATCCTCCTTTAGTTTCCTTCGCAGGTCATACGAGCTCACAAGGCAAGTCAAAAACTCAGGATGACTCGACAAAGCATCAACAACACGATTATAACAGTATTTCTTATGCTTTAGTTCAAAATTGTAAACATCAATGTCATGCAGCCAGTGGGTCAGTGTCGGAGAGAGATCAATTTGCGTTTTAATCCACTGCAAGGTCTAATGATCTGAGTACACCTTGAAGTGACGACCCAAGAGGTAGTGCTTCCATTGTGTGAGCGCTTCTTGCAAGGCATAGAACTCGCGCATATTTGTGGAGGTAGCTACCTTGTGGTTGGGCATGCGTTTGTTGTAATACTCGAGCGGACGCAGGCCATCGCCATCATCTTGTTGCAGCACTGCACCAATCCCATACTGGCTCGCATCCGTAATAACTACTACGAACGTGAGGTCGGGATCCGCAATGTGGAGCACATGATGACTTACCAAAGCCTCTTTCAAGGCTTGGAACGCAGTCTCGCATTTCTCACACCACGCATAGGCAACATTTTTGCTTGTTGGTCTCGAGAGTGGGTGAGCAATGACAAAAAATTTGGGCACAAACTTCCGGTAATACGAAGTCAAACCAAGAAAAGAACGAAGTTCGCGTACGTTCGCCGGTTGAGGCCACTTTCGTATGACCTCAACCTTGGTTGCCTCCGGCTCAAGGCCGTTTGAAGACAACCAGTGCCGAAGATAGATGACGTTGTCCCATCCAAACTCAGATTTCTCTAAGTTGAGGTGCAGTTGTGCCTCCTTGAGGACTTGCAAAACCTCCTCAAGGTGTTTGACGTGCTCTTCCATGGACTTGCTGAAAATCAGGATGTCGTCGAGGTAAACAACAACAAACCTGTTGGGATGATGGCGGAGAACCTTGTCCATGAGGCACTAAAATGTGGCTGGTGCATTCGTAAGACCGAAGGGCATAACGATGAATTCATACAGCCCATCGCGTGTTTCAAATGCAGTTTTGTGTTAGTCGCTCGAATAAACTTCAATCTGGTGGAAGCCAAACTTTAGGTTGATCTTGGAGAAGACCTTGCATCCATCTGCAGCATCTAGCAGATCATCTATGCGAGGCAAGGGATAAGTGTTCTTTTGGGTGATACGGTTTAGGCCACGATAGTCAATACACATCCGGAGTTTGCCTCCTTTCTTCGGCACAAACAGGACAAGTGCACCGAACTCTAACTCACTAGGCCTAATCCATCCATGATCAATCATATCATCAATTTGTCTCCTCAACTCCACCAACTCGCCTTGTCCCATACGGTAAACGCAGCCCTTTGGAGGAACACTCCCTTCTATTATCTCGATCTTGTGTTTGACCAGACGCTCAAGAGCTCCGTGAGGTTCAGCCAAAACTTCAGGAAATCGATCTAATAGACGACGAATGTTTGTTGGGACTTCCGGTAGATCATCCTCATCAAGAGAGAGAAAATCAGACTGAGAATTTACAGCAATTACAACCGAATTCGAAGTACTTGGATCAGAAGTAGACTGATTCTTTAGAGTAGAAGTAGATGGAACAAAAGTAGAGATAGTAGAAGTAGAATTATTTTACGAGGTAGAAAATGCAGCAAAAGTAGAAGGCACATGGAGAGGCTTTACAAGAGTTACATGCACATGCTCAGCTTCCTTGCGCCTGCGCACTGATTTGCAGAATTTGTTTGCACTCGAAAGAGTCACAGGAGACTCATGTGTCTCGTCCAATAGAACGGTACGCTCGTTCCCCTTGGCATCACGCACCACAAACTGAGTATCCGCCCACGTGGTCCTTAGACAATGAGCCTTTAACCAGCCCAACCCAACGATCGCGTCGAAAGGACACTTGTCCAAGACGTAAAAGTTCAGCTCATGTGTGACAATGCGATCCTTGTCAAAAGTGACGCACACACCTTTGACAGCATGTGTTGAGGGGACAACCTCTTGGCTGCCTACCTGGATTTCTGCAATTCCACTTGCTTCATTCCCAGGCCCGCCTTACGAATCCCGTTAGGAGAAAAGAAGTTAGTTGTTGAGTCATTCTCAATCAGCACACGGATGTATCGGCGGTTAATGAGCAGCTTAAAGAAGATCAGTTCCACACTCCCTTGAACACGGTGTTGCTGCTTGAGTTGCAACCAATGTTCCAGGTGAGAGTGGAAGTTGACTGACTTCCTTAGTCTCCTCCCAAGGCTCAGTGTAAAGTACTTGGACTGCAGCAGCCTTGGTTTCAGCATCAGTTCGGGCTTCAAGAGCAGGCTGTTGATCAGATTCAGGCTCCTTGGAGGGGCCTGCAGCTGACTATTCAGCTTCCCTTGTTGTAGAGAGTGTTGACGACTCTTCTACGCCCTTTGCCTGTTTCCCCGCAGACGATAACATTCCTACACAGCGTGCCCAGGCTTTTGACAATGCATGCACACGCGCAGTTTGGATCTTCTCTCCTATTCCTTTTGACTAATGCGGAGGGTTTCCCAAGGCTTAGCGGAAGCATCCTCCGGCTTCTCAGGGATCTTTGCATTCTTGGGGAGGTGTGCTATAGTTCCCCTACCTGAACCACGATTAGGCCCCTTGCTTGAAGCAATCTTTTTAAAGGCATTGCATTTCTCTTCAGTATTTATGTCAAACTCAAGGGCTGATGTAGAACAGCCCATGTCAGAGTCCGACTCTAGATCGTCATCTAGAGACAGATCATCCGCATAGGACTGATCCTCAGCCTCTCGATGTTCATGCAGGGCAAGCTGGTTGCTGCTTCCGTACCGCTTGCGTCGTGAGGTTCTACCTGCAGCGGGTGTCTTCACACGCCTGGCGAGGTCCTTAGGCTTCTAGATTGATGCGTCAGTAGCTCACGCCAGGTCGTATGGTCCTTGAGTCCTAGCCGGGAGACATAGCCTTCAGGGGTCACTCCCATTACTACATCCACGCAAGACACGTCACTCCATCCCAGGTTTGGAGTGGTGAACAGACCAGTGAAGTGTTGCTCCAGAGCCTGCATGGAAGCCCTCCCCTTTTGGCCCTTGAGGGCCTCAAGCCTTAGCCTTGCCTTGAGCGCAACATGCTTATCTTGATACTGCGCGATGAGGAGGTCCTCAAGGGTATGTACAGGAATTACGTTCAGCTACTCAGTTAGGTCAATCCTCTCATAACCTGCAGTAACAGCCTGAAGTTCTACGAAACTCCGTACGGCGGGCTCAGTATTTGTGCCCATAATGATGCTTCGGGCTTCCTGCGGTGTTCGCAGTACCTTGAAGTATAAGCGCATGGAGCTGATCCAAGAGGTGATGTCCCCCTTTCCGTCGTACTTGGACGACAGTGTGGCCGCCCTCTTGTCCACTACGGGACCGTTGTATTGTACGTCAGTAAGAACTGCGGCGTTTTGGACTTATGTTCCTGCATTTGGGACTAGGACCAGTGCAGAACTGTCGGCGTTGCCGCTTGAGGAGCTGGCACCGGTTCCTGCGCTCGTCACAGTTCCACTTGCTCTCGACATGAGGACTGTGTTAGGGTGAGAGACTGGGACTGCAGCAGGTCGAGGACTAGGAGGCCGGGGGGCAGTCAGTTGGGACTATTTGAGGCTGAATATCTCAGCTTGCAACTCTTGGTTCCGCTGCTCTAGAGCTGTCACGCGGGACTCGAGATCTTCCAAGGTCCACAGTTGAACCAAGGCTGCTACGGCAGCAACTAGCTTCTCTTGGAACCGGTCATCACTAGATTTCGAAACCTCGCGGAGGGCCACTTGTGTAGCAATACTTGCGGCTTTGGCTGCTACCTCTGCCTCCCTCTCTCTGTGCATTGCGTCCTCGTAAAGTTTCTGACAGAAAGGTTTCTCGCTCTCGGCCGCTGCATCCAACATGGCCTTCCATTGCTCGGATGTGATGTCTGCCATGCTGGAGGATGGGGTATCAGTAGATCTCTCAAGAGGGGTCCGCACTTTGGTTATGTTTGGACGAACTCTCCTCTTACCCCTCCTCACACTCTCAAAAAGAATACCTTCACGCTCCCTTCTCTCTCTTTCCGCTTTCTGTGCACGCGTCTCGATGTTGGACATAGGTAGTTCAAATAAAAGAAAAACAAATAAATCACAAAGAGAAGAAGGTAGAACTCCTTGCCGGAGCGGCAATTCATTTGGAGTTAGAGAATGGCATTCACGCAGCAAAAAAAAAAAGTAATAAAAATAAAAATAAAAATAAAAGAGAGGATTGACTTAACGAACGGGCCCCATCAGATTAGCTGGAGATCCCCTCTTGTCTAATCTAACAAGGAACACGTACCACAATAAGTCGGCCGAAGAAAACTAACTGCAGCAATGGAGATTTCGAGGGGTGCAGACGGTCGCCGAGCCAGACGCGGGGCAGTATGTGATAACATGCAGTAAGACCACTCAAGATCCCCTTGAAAGGAATGTCCTTACTAGACGTATGTCCCCCAAATTCAGCACAACAAAGAGATGCACTGAACGACAACAGATTTGGGTCCTAAAGGTCATGTCCCTCTTGAAGTGCAGATTCCAAGTGCGAGTACCTCTCACTCTCTACTCCCTCTCGCTTACTCCAATCAGCCTCCTTTATGTCTCGCCACCCCATCCAATCACACAAGCAACCTGGTCAAGTCTGATGTCGACCCTACATGACCTAACCAGGTGGGGGCAGTATCCACATACCTCACTGCCCCTCTTAACCCTAACTTCCAACCCTAATCCGAGATTAGGTTAGCCCTAACCTAGTTCGGAATTAGGTTTAGGGTGACTTACACCTCTCGCCAGCAAGTAAGTCCGCTCCGATACCAATTGTTACGATCCTGTCGTTCCCAAGTGCAAATTCACAATGAAAGACAATGCCACCCAATTGCGAAAGAAACGAAAGCACTTGCAAAGAATAGAGATCAAAGAAGAAGAAGAAGAAGAAGAAGAAGAAGAAGAAGAAGAAGAAGAAGATGTACACCAGCAAGACCAATGACAAATCCCCCTTCCCCCTCCACCTTCCTCCTCCTCCTTCACTTCGCCAACCTTATTCTTCTTCGAATAATAATAATAGTAACAACGAATGGATGAACCAGAATCAATCTCTGAAGTTCCCTTTTACTGCTGACATCACCATAGGTCCACCATAGCTATGGCTTCCCCCCTTCTTCCACCTCTCACAAGCCTAGGCTATGGCGGACAACTGAGGGCTCTGCCCTCCTGTGCAAAGGAAAACACAAAGCAGCTATGTCGCTGCACTCTTGTCTAATCTGCCTCGAGCTTCCTTGGTGCGGCACTACCCCAACTGGGGCCTTCCAGGTGCAGCGCCCAACAAGGTGATGAAGATGGTGTCCACCATAGCCAGGTAGGTACCTCGCCACTCTCCTCCTTCGCCCCCTTCTTCCTCCTCAAGCTGGGCTGCTCGCCATAGCCAGGCTGAGCGCCCAGCTGCTCTTCACCTCCAGGCAGCGCTGCACAAGTCCTGCGCTTGGATCAGCAGCATGTCGCCAATCCTTGCATACCACAAATGAGGAGGAGCTGCTCGCTCCTCCGGAAGATATAGCGGCCTACTGGCCTCTTGGGCGGTGACTTCCTAGGCCGAGCGGCCTCCCAGCAACGGTACCTCCTCCCTTTCGGAGGGAAACATCATTGCAGGCTCTGCTATCGTCCGGACAGGCCCTGGACTCGGGCTACTTTGACTGGTACCGGCCTACCTCTAACCTACCGCTACTGGGCCTCTAAAAATGCCAACTTTTTGTCTTCTTCTGCTCGGCCTCCAATACCCGACACTTCTACCACTACTTGAGTGGTACCGGCCTACCTGCTACTTGAGTGTTTTTCCCGCTGCTCTAAGTGCCGTGGGCCTACCCAAACTACTTGAGTGTTTTCCCTGCTGCAACCCTCAAAGTCACGGCCACAAGTAAGTACCGGCCCTGCGGGGCCTTTCAACCAACAAGTACCCTTGCGGGTCACACACACACTCAGCCGACAAGCAAGACAGGCATGCAAACCAGCAGGCACGCACACACACACAGACTTGGAAACCACAGCAGAATGCGGGAATCTCAGCAAGGCATTCATTCCAGCGGCAAATCCCAGAAATCAGCGTTCTCAGTCTGTGTTTTGGTGGGTCATTACAGGTACCCTCTCAATGTGCTTGGCCGGTGATGCTTTGCCCGCGAGGGCCCCAACTAATTTTGTGAGGGATGCTGGGCCCGGTTCCCAGCTTTTATATATAAAAAAAAAAGAGAGAGTCCTTCGGGGGAAAAAAAAAAAAAACTCAACTTGGGCGATGGGACTTCACCCCAGGATGTATCCTGCACTTATTTTTCTTCAACCGCATATGGGCACAAAACACTGTACTCCGTGCAATCAGGCGGTAGGGGTGGGGTGGGTGGGTCACGTAAAAAGTACTGGAGCCTTGGCGTGGTCCCGGCAGGGGTTGGGTGGGTGGGGTGCCTCCCTTTCGGTTTCTATTTGGATATTTGAGGCTAGTTCCTGACTGTTGCGTGTGGGAGTGCCCCGGAAAGGGTACCACCATCCAGCTCACCGTTGTCCCTTACGCCATGTAGTACAAATGGAAACAAAAAAAACATGAGAAACGAAAAAAAAAGAAGAAATGGAAAAAAGAAGAAAGGAAAAACTCAAGTCAATGACTGTACCAGACTGTTTCGTCGGATTTTCACCGACTCATCAGGAGGTTGAACCCCGACAGTCTGCCCAGGATGCATTTGACTGATGGATAAGGACTCACCACATCGCCCAGAGTTAGCAATACCCCTGAGAAAAGTGGTCGACTTTACTCACACCAACCTCGCAATCCTAGCAGACTGCCGGTCCAAACCCCTGACAAGAACGGTAGTAAGTCTGAGAAACTAATCTGACACAGTCATAAGACCCACTCTACACACGCACTCAGCCATAGACACACAATGGTGTGTGTGTGTGTGTGTGTGTGTGTGTTTTAGATTTTCCTCACAACAGCCCCAATTCCACCCAGGTGAATAGATTCAGAATCAAAGCAGTCTTTGTCCTATTGCAGACAACAAGAGCATTTGAGATGTCCAACATATTAAAGCAATTTTATAATTAGACAGTTTTTTGGTTGTCCTTGGGGTACCCCTTTCATTGTTTTTGCAGCTCCCCTTTTACTGTGCCTCTTACGCACAAGGCTGCACAAGTTGATTGTGGTTGAGCGGCAGCTGCCCACATCCCCGTGCGCCTTCACGGCCCACTTGCACGTTATTTCAGGAGGCAGAGTAAAAGGGAAGGTATGCTCCTGTGCATCTCTTCAGAGCTTCCTGCTCCTGTTCATTTCACTTCAGATCTTCAGCTTAAACAGTCTTGTGTCTGTCCTTCATCTTCATACTTCCGTTCATTCCACTTCTGATCTTCATATCGTCTATTCTCTTAATGATGCTCATTCATATGTTTTTGTTAGTAGTACAAAGGGAGTGGACGGGAGGGTGAAGGGATAGAAGGCGGAGTTCTCTAGGAGTATGGGGCAGGGGAGGTAGGGGCAACGGGAAGGAAAGAAATATGTGGGA